CTCCATGATACAATTTAGCTTTACAATGTAGGGAAAGAATTAAATTCCAAATTCTAATTTATTTCTATAAAACAGATCGACACTCGTGGTTGACAGAATACTAGTAAAAGTAAAGCCAATCTCTAAATAAGACAACCTTCCATTCAATTTCATCCGAGGAACGCCTGAAGCCAGCATTGTTTACACCCTCCCCTACGTTAACAGGGTCATGTTTATGGCACACAGCTCAGGGTAGATGTGCCGAAGGCTACACTGTTCCTCAGTATTCACTGATCAATAAAGTTGCTCCATTTTCATTCAGTGTTTACCTGAAGCAGTTTGACACGAAGACAAGGGAACTTGATTTTGCAGTTCACTGAAGTGAGTTGTTGCTCTGGTACTATGAGACAAGGATAATGGAATATTTTTTCCCAATGAGCACCACTCGTTGCACAATGTTCCAATGAAGCCTGGCGCTCCACTTGGGACAGACACTTTGAACGATGTTCATGGTATGTAGTGTCAATTACACGCAACTTGGCAGCACTCAAGATAAAAGCAGCATTGCATGGATACTGTCACGCCTTTTAATTCCCCCAGTTTAACCAAACGTTGGAAGGGAATGACAAAGGTGTGGGAGGAGACTTTACAACAGAAGGAGAGAGGAATACGCGAGGAGAAAATGAGGAAAATGGATGTAAAAAAAAAAAAAAGAAAATTCAAACAAAATCAGGTAGGAAGATGTGCCCCCGTCATGAAACCAGGATTAAATGGGGCATAAACACAACTCTCACTTCTCCTTCTGCTGCAGGCTCTTTCAGGTCGTTGCCTTTTTTAAGCTGCATTCACACTCAAATCGATGCTCTTTAATTTGCCCTTAGAAAATGTGAAGATACTGCAGACGTTGGCAACAAGGCAGCAGGGTTAACTACATCTGTTACTGAAAACCACATGAATACATGATCAAAGTAGAGAACGGAGATGCAGAAAAGAATGCCGCTTCTGGAGTAAGTGCAGCCTCATCCTAGCAAGAGTCCAGATGGTCAGAGCGCAGGCACTATGTCATAACCACGCTTTGTATTTTGTGCGTTTAAGAAAAAAACAAAACCAAACAAACAAAAAGAAAAGCAAGAAAAAGGGGGGAGGGTACAACACAACCAAAAACAAACTATGAATGACTTCATTAGCTGGACTCTCCCAAACCTGTGAGATATCTCTGAGGTAATCATTGAAGTATGACTCATTAGACAGCAATAAATACCAACATGAATACAAATATAAAAGTAAAAACAGAGGCAAATGCTTAATGCTAAAGCAAAATCTGAGCCAACAGAGGTAGATTTTTTAGGTAGATTATGGTGTACATCCATTGTGGACGCTCCTTTTTGTAAGAACTACATTAGATTGATTCCATTACAATGCCTGTCCAGAAAATAAGAGCTAAAAAATAAAGATCCTTTGCATGAAAAATGGCCAAACGTTTTGTGTAAATGATAATACGTGTTTTTTCTCAGACAGGATTTGTAATGGCCAGTTATACAAAAACTTCAAAAATGTCTTAAGAACATGAAAACTGTAAAGCTTGCTGGTGATAGTGTACCATGAGTTGTATATTGCGGGCATTGTTACTGTGTTTCATTGGTGTTCTTGTGGGAATCTGTACAGATTCTGAGCAGCCTACCATGATAAAACCAAACAGGAAACTCTGATGATGCATTAAACTCACATTTACTGTATTGCATGATTTTGGGATGGCATATAAACCAAAAAGAAAATTTGAAAGAAATTAAAAGTAAAAAATAAATACATATCTTATCCAATATTTAGTTAAAGATGGGATCTTTCTTAATTCCCCTGATGGTATGTTGTACTGATACCATGAATTACCACATCTACATCTTCAGTTAGTAGCTATAACACATCCTCGAGAGCTTTCCTGTTCAGTTATCAAACCCTAAATCAAGAGCAACTCCTCTTTTTACCCTGTTCTAGTGTTGAGGGAACTCTCCCTGTGGCACTTACATTTATACCAAAACCTCCAATTGTATCTAACAAACACAAATCAACACTGCACCTCAAAAGCAGGAAAAAAAAACTATATTAAACCCTACATACAGAGGTATGTATTTAGAGAAAAATAAAGAACAAAATGGAGACTTCTCAAAACTTCAGTGTTCAGTAACCAAGCACATCATACCCCTCATCAAACTGACACATACATACGAGTGGTACTGCCTAAAGACACTCGAGCTTCCACTACTTAAATCACAGCAGGGTCATTTTGTGGGACGTCTGAAATTAATCAATTTAATTCTTTCATTTAATTATATCATTTAAAAGATATTAAGGACGTAAATACGACTAAAGATTGCGTGAGAAGAGGAACATTACAAAAACAGTTACCTGTTTGTGCTATGCAGATTAATGTGGGAAAAAAGGCCCCGCCTGTCAGGCTGCATTTAGTCACAGTGACAGATTAGAGGTAAAATAGAGCCACAGTGACAAAGGATGGACTTTCATTATGATGACTTAAAGAAGAGTGAGGGGGGGGGGAAACTGGAGAAAAAAAATCATCCATGAGGGCTAAACTGAACAAAGCTAACCTCACACACTTCCACATGCAGTCGTGTGAGGAAGGCTGGACAACAAACGGGCTTTTCTCTCACCCTCTTCCTCGCATCGTTACCTCTGTCTATAGAGACGAAGGCCGTGTCTAAATGGATGTCCTCTGACATGTGCACTTGGCAGGACTAAGCATTTTTCCTTCACCATCACCTCCTTTAATTTGATGCAAATCCCACAAGCAGCGAGCATAGAGCACTGGCCTGCGCATACAAGTGATTAAAGTCTCTTGGCAGTTTGGTTAATATGTTGTTAAGATGCTGCCGAATGAAGCTAAGCCAAAGATGACTGACAGCAGAGAGAAGGCGAGTTTCTATCATATACAAGCTCCTAAAGCCACAGATAAATACTATTAACATTTAGTAGGTAATAAAATGGATATTCCCAAGGCTCTGGAGTCATCATTGTGATGTACTGTAATATAACAGGTGTTCAGCTGGCTTGGTGATCTATATGGCTTATATTTGAGAACAGTTTGTCGTCTTTCTGGAAACGAACCGTTGAAAGTTTATGTCACAAAAAAAATGAGAATCTGACTGTGTCAAACACACAAGCAGCCCCTGTTTGAGTAATTTCTGAAGTGTTTCTACCACAAATAAACAAAAAATAAAAAATAAACAAAAAGACAAAACCCCAAAATAGTGTTTCAGAACATAGTGATAATAGTTTAGAACAAAATTATGGTCAACTGTAATTGCATATATCTGTCTGGGTAAAAAGCCCTATGTACAGCGGCAGACATAATCATATACAAATGATATCAAAATATTGTATGTATACATACATATATATAGATATATATATATACAAACACACACACATATTTTGATATATACCTGGTATTTACAAAATGCAGCCACTAGAGGGCTGCGCAGCATACATCATCAAACGAGGAGGGTCAGGGTGTGGAGGTGCACAGCACCACCACCACAACCAGGCCCTCAGACATTCTAGAAAATCCACTTCCCAGTCAGAAACGAAAGGGGTGTGATATCTGTAGAGGTCTGAAGCAGCTAACCAAGCTCTCTGCCCACCGAGCTTACTGTTTACTAAAAGAGGAACAATTCATGGAATTGTTTTAGAGGTGAAATGATGTATAAATCAAAAAACACCTATTGCAGTTTTATCCATGTCAATGCAAAGTCCATGTGTAGTATGCAGCTATATATTAAGAAGACAGGACCCTTGCTTTGGCCTACATTGATCATTCCAGTTAGATTTGGCGTTGTAGCCCTTTTAAATCTGTGACAAAATAGAAACTGTATAGCAATACATAGGGTTGAATAAACTGTGGTTTAACAGTGCTCAGGATACATGTGATAGCAGTTAATTATTAACAAGGAAATAAACAAATTTAAATCAAAGACAAGAATATAAAATATTTCAAAAAAGAGCATCAAGCCATAATGCTGGCTTGGTTTGATTGATAATTAGCAGTGTAAAAGTAGCTAACACATTTAGTGGCTAATTCTCACCTCAAAACCAGACCACCCTACGTTCCTATTAAAACCTCAATGGATAACAGAATATGCTCTATCCTGCACTTTAAATCTCTATAACGATACTTTCCTTCATAAGCTCTGAGGCTTGTCAGACAACTCGCCGTTTGGCTGCATGAGTGAAGCGAGCCATGGAGCAGCAAGGTTATTTTTAGAATCTGAAAGCTTTTTTTAAAAAACATAGTTGACCATACCTTTGGTGAAAGGCGTGTGTTTGAATTGTACACAGTCATATAAAGATGCTGCCTTGGAGAGAAGCAGGTCAAAAAAACTAATTAAAAAAACAAAAAAAGACATGATTTCTGAATAACCAAAAGTTCCAAGTAATGTGCAGGCACTGCTTTTGCACTGGTACTGATATACAAGCTGTGCTGTATCTGATCGGTACTGTTTCACATAGGTGATGTGGATAGAAAACCCAGTAAAACCAAGAGGTAGCTCAACTGAATGGCTAAATGAATAACTGAGAATGCATGTTGTGTTGGTGTGCGCATCGCATGTGCGCACACAAAATGTCCAGGCATTTAAAGCAGCTGTTTGTCGAGTTAAATATGTACAAAACACTGTATACATAGGCAGATGTTATATGAATAGCTTAATTTTTTACTATATGACATTCCCTTGTTTACTGTCACTTAACATCTGCTTGCTCTCACCATAACCTTGGCCTATACACTAACATACACGTCTTACTCATATACAAGTCCCACGCACGCATACACAGACAAGCACACAGGCACGCACGCACACACACTCAGCTTTCTATCCTCCACTAGCTCCGTACGCCACACCTGCTTTTAATCCATTCAGCACATTCTCAGCTCCCTCCTTCCATCCCTCGGGGGGGGGTTTGTCTCCGCCTTCCACCTCTTCACAGCCGAGTTTCGGGAGAGGCTTCTAGGAGACCTCGCTGCCGAACACCTCCAGCACTAGCGGGGTGAGCTGCATGCTGTGCTCCGGCTGGAAGGACAGTAAGCGGTACTGTTTGGAGTGCTCCTCGTTGAGGCTGCGCAGGTCGGCCAGCTTCTGGATCATCTTGGCGTACCGCAGCCGCCCTCCCGGGTGGTGAAGCTGGATGTAGGCCTGCAAGGTCTCGGACAGTCGGTCTTGAAGAGCTTCGATCCTTGTGTGATCCTGCACACCTGGGCGGTCTGCAGCAGAGAGGGGAAGAGGCTCAACCTATTTGTAGTCAATGTTCAAACTGCTCAAAGTAAAAGAAAAACACACACACACACACGCACAATTGTTCCTGTGAAATAACGCTAATAAAATAAAAATGACCAATATGTCTACCTGCATTTGTAGTTAGGTCTTTCCAGTCAGGTGACTTGTTAATTTTAGACCAGGGAGAGCACAGAGGCCACATTAAAGAGGTGCCTTGTTCACACTCGGTGATGCACACATCTCTTTAGTTACACATGCTTGCTTCATCGCACAGCTGAGAATATGTAATATATGTACAAAATCTACTGCAAAGTTAGTTCTTACAAGAGGCGCAAAACTACAAATAGCAACTCAGGAGGCTTCACAATGCCAATTATGTCATGTGGACAAGAAAACGAGGAAGAGCGTAAAACGTTTGTGCATCGGACTAAGGACGACATGAGATTCTAGATGGCTCGCCACATATTTCCATCACCAGCTACAGTACCTGGAGAGAGCAAACAGATGGCCATTAGCAGAACGTGCTCCTCCTCATCTAGGCTGAGCTTCTTCAGGCCCACCTGGAACTTCACCAGTGGCTCCAACAGCTCAAGAGTGTGGCCCGCTGCAAAGGATCAACATATCAGTGAGCAGAATCAAACTATCAAAGAGGAAGAGCCCTCGGGGGATTGCTACCATTACTCACCATCACTTCACTTTGCTCTATGGATTTTTATAATCAATGGTCTCAAAGTTAATGCAATAACATAACACAAGATCATAGCAGTTTGGCGTTAATATAAGTGGATATATACGATCAGAATCCTGTATCACACTCCATTCCAGCGGATGGTGGTTGTGCATCACATTGTTTGTCAACCATCACATGCATCAGGAAGACAAAATCCTTCTATACTCCCCTATTTTACCTCTTTAGTTCGAACTGGATTAAGTACTGCATCAAATATACAACATATGCGGTAAGTCAGATCAAAACACATTACAGATAGTACACAAAATAGTAACATTGAAATTGTAAAATATTTGATTTCCAGTGATGGGACGCTGACATGTGAGCAAAGTTTAGAAGTGGGACATTCTGAACCATTTAGATGTTTACTTATTTAATGTTACATCACCACGTGGCAACCGACATGGCCACCTTCTTTATGTAAATTTATGCGAGCCAAAGGTCACACCACAAACGTTTATGGCTTGTTATTGTGACTGCGTCTGCTTGCTTTCCTCTAGTGGCAGGCCTCAATGCTTTCTGAAGATTTGCCAACTTTCTCCAGGACCAGGAAAAAATTTAACACTGAACTTTCTTTTAGCACTAGCCTTGTACATCAAAATGAAGTATCTATCCTCATTAAATAACATTTTCTGTAAACCTTCTTCTCTTCCCAGTGAAGGTGTCATAGTTCAAAAGACATGTGCTTCATGAGGAGACATCTTTTCAAGCCATATTTGTGTCACATACTCAATGATATTTTAAGAAGAGCACAACAGAGGTTCTTATCCTGCTTCAGACAGTGGTTGTTCTGTAGTGAGCAGGTCAGGAGTGACATTCTTTGCTTGATCCCAGTAAGAGGGGGATCCTTTTTGAAAGGCAAATGAAAGCCTTGTCCACAGGGACTTTGAAAGATAAGTAAGACTGGTTTTGCAGAACTACTCGCATTAGCATCTTTGGCCTAAGGGTGTGTACACAGGCCATTGCCAGTAACTTTATCTGTAGTCCAACACTAATGATATGGGTGCCTCTTTAGGAGACAGACGTTTACTTCAAACACAACATGAAAGTGTTAATATTTAACAGGCACAACTCTTTTTCTTTTTCCTACTGGGTTAGAGGAAAAAGGCACTGAGCATATAGGTGGTCTTGAACACAAACCGCCCTTTAGAGCAGTCCATCTGTAAACACACAGGGCTTCACACTAACCTTTGGTGACATCACTGATCTGGTATTTAAAGTCAGGTGCACCACAGCTCCAGGACATGTCTTCCAGGTTGAAGCTCTGATTCGAGCGCAGCATGATCACCTCAATGGCACTGGACTTGAGCAAAGCAATCTGGTCTTCTGCGGTCAGCTCTCTGCAGGGAGGGAGACGTGTCACATGTTGGATAATTCTCTTCTTTTCGCAATCGCTTTCAGCATTTTGAGTTATTCACTTTACGTCTTATTATAGTTCACTTAACTAATGTCATGACAGCAGTGATGAGCCGAGACATGTGGATGGCATGTTTTTCAGGGATTACAATACAGGTCGCAAACATTCCAAAGGCAATCCATCACATCCATCACCCGTTGTCAGTCGTTATGACAACTTTCAGGAAAATACTGGCTCAAACCCGTTCCAGCCTTGACTTTGCAATGACCCCAAAACACACTGTGTGTTTGTCCCTGTCAGCACACCACGAAACAAACACTCTGGAAGGCAACAGTGTCCGTGTGTGGAAGTAGGGCCAGAAACAATGGCACCCTGGTCAGTTTGGTTTTACCCTTTACAGGCACAACAACAACAACAACAACAGAAAAAGGCTAGTGGTGGGCTATCAGAGCTAAAATATCCTAGTCAATAACCCTGTGCTGACAGGGCTGTGATATTGTGTATATCTTTTATTCATTTCTGGGAACTATAAAGACTTTTACAATATTTTCTGTACCAAATTATGATATGCTTTACTTAAAAAGAAAGAAAAAAAAACAATGAGGGTGTGCAATGCAGGTGGCATTTGAAAACTGAAACACAGGCAGGAATATTGTCATAGTAACAACATTGCCATGGCAAATATCCTTTCACAGATATTCCAAATCATCTAAAGAAGGTCAAACATCATCCTTAGCACTGTATTACATCTATGGTGGGATACAGTAAAGCCTATCAGTGATCTATGGTCTTTGGACCACAGCCATCAGCATGCTACAATACCAATTCATCAAGGGAAAAAAAACAAGTAGGTGGTACAAAGTCTTCAACAAGCAATTAGGTCAGAAGTCACAGAGAGGCAAGCAAATAAAAAATACAGGCGGGGCAGTCTAAAAGTTCAGTTAAGGCAATTATTACATTTTGCCAATCTATTCTGTTCGGAGAAGCTCAGAAAAACGACTTCCCCCTCTGTGCCTTTTGCCTTTTGCACCGAGCTGCAATAATTCACTAAATAAATGAAGTGAAACCTGGAGAACAATTCAAACACTTTTGGTAAAATTCAATTCTAAAGAACACAGAGGCAACTATAATGACGATATTTAAAGTGTATATTCTATGTACATTTAGGATTGGGAAGCTGTAGTTAAACACACAGGTAGACAACACACATACCGGAAACCGGGGATCATCTTGGCAAAGCCGATGACCTTCTGAATACTATAGGAGACCAGGTCAGCCAGGTGGGGCAGCATCGAAAAGCTGGAACCTTCCTCCTCACTGGAGTCAGGGCTGCTGCCCTGTTCCTGGTACATCATCAGCAGGTTGTTGAAGTTCATTTTAGTGTCAACCGACTCTGCACCAGGATAAAGAGAGCAGGGTGGAAAAGCGTTGAAAATTGGGATGGCATCTGAAAATTCTGCACAATTCTTTCACACACAGACAAACAGGTCTTTCTCCACATTGTGTTGACGGTGGGCTACGTGTCCCTCACTGTTATCACTTCATTAGTGATGGATTCATTAATGAACTGCTGTTTATCAGTGGGGGTCAGGTGTCTGCAGGGCTCTGGATATCAACATCCAGCAGCTTATTAGAGAGAGCACACATCTGAACTACAACATTTTTTTTTTGATGTCTGACAGTATTAAGAGATGGAATAATTCTTGATTTAAAAAATAAAATAGATTTATCTACATTCTCTAATAATCATTTCACATTTTCATTATTTGTTTAAAAAAACTTAAAAGATCCTGGAAAATTAGCTGAAGAAAACTTTCAAGAGCCAGAGTTTGCCCTCTACCAAATCTGTGAATTTCACCTGGAGAGTGACTGAAGGAGTCAGAGGAGGCATCGGAGAGGGAATGGAGTGAGGCAGCTCTGCTAGCACTTCGCGTCACTGGGCCTTCTCGCACAGGAGGCTACACAAGAGCAAAGAGGGGGGTTCAGTCACAAAAATCAGAAATAAACCACAGTAGAACCTGTGCTTTGTTACATAAAGCACAGGTTCTACTTCACACAAGTACAAAAACAACGCTTTATTGGCTGGCAATGAGTGTAATTATTCAGGGAATTGAATATTGGAGGAATAATTATTCAGATAATCTATAAATAGCTCAAAACATGGCTGTTGTTGTCTGACACGAGAAATCCCTGCATTTTAATGATGCGCATTTCAAGGCTCTATCAATACTGACATGCAGCTGGAATTTCATGACTCCATGATGAGGATTGGAACTGAGAAACAAACCCTAAAACGGCAGAAGTCAGAGTAGGAGTCATCATATGTTTTGTGGTGCGCCTCCACCAGTGTGGAAATGACTTGACTCTGCTCGTCAGTGAGCCGGGGCCGCCGTGCCTCCCTCTCTGCTTCGCGCTGTGCCTCCTCATCCTTCCTCCGCTGAATCAGGTCCTTCTTCCTCTGCACTTCCTCATCTGTCAGAATGACTGCACGAGCAAAACAAAAAAAGGCGGAAAAAAAGAGAAAAGAAAGTATCAGAATATGCATGCACAAGGGGAAAAAGGGCTTTCAGGAAAAAAATATGTCTCAAAAATGTCTTTGTGTAAGAATCATATAAATAACACAAAACAAAAAACATGTGGTAAACCTCTGGATTATAAATTATAAATAGCCAGAATACATCAAGACCATCAAAACTCTTCTAAGGTACAGTGTGTGCTTGTGTTTTAACACTGTGATGACAGCTATGTTGATGTTGTGTTGGGTGAACGGAGGTTGTTATTCTGTAGAAGAAGAGAATGGGAGGGGACGGGTCCATATGGAGACCCCTGCTGTACTGAACAACTGAGCGCATTGTCTTTGTTCTGTTCGCTCCTTGTTGTTCTAGCCACTGAATTAGCTCACAGAAACGAGAGAGAGAGAGAGAGAGAGAGAGAGAAAGAGCCGGGTCTCGGAAACATGCTGCTGTTTTTGCAACATCATTGGCTCCTGTTCATATACAGTAAACTGTAGTGCTTTTGTCATAACTCCAAGAAATGCTGGGAAAAAACAACATAAAACAAAAAAGAAAAAAAAAAACAGGCTGGCGGGGTTTAATGTTCTGCTTTTAAGAGGTTTTTGGACAATATCCGGACAGTAGTAAAAAACAAGCAAAGATGTCCTAGCAAACTAAACTGTAAAAACAAACTTGTGGAACACGGAAGCCTGGCAAGATTACGTATAAAGTGTACAAATTAATTATGGTATACTTTTTTTAAAATGCAGGTGGCCCCATTAGTGCACAATACGTAAACACGTTAAAGGGGCAAAGACCCAGAGATACCCGACCTGAATCCAAATATTACATAATATTTTCAGGAGAAACAAGGGGCCCCTTGAGGCAGCACACATCAGTCATTCTGCTTTCCTGACAATAAGGAACTTTCTTTTTTTTTTAAAACATGGAAACAAATATATCCAATACATAAACACTAATATTAAAGAACATATTTTTAACCAGGTATATTGTCAGGCATATTGTCTAAAAAGCTGAGGTCGACTCTGATTAGGCATTCCAAGCCTAAATATCAGCTCGAGTCAACACACGGCTCATGATTAATAAGCTCCAGCTAAAAGAAAAAAGAACAAACAAAATCCACAAAAAGCCAGTATGACACAATGTTGACTAAACTAATCTCAAAGCGGTTACTGAGCAGATGCACATCATGGCGAAGCAGTGAAAGACAAAAAGAAAGAGCAGTAGGGGGGGTTTCAGGCAGATCCAGGAGGAGTGTAAGTCCCTGTGAATGGACCAATAACATGAAGAACACACCCAGAGTAACACAAAAAGCCTAAGAGCACACTGTGTCTTTTTAACGAGTGTGTGTTAGAATGTTGCCTTGAAGAGATATGGGTCACCTGTCATACTTACACTCTTTCATCATGCCGATGTCCACGCAGCGTTTGAGCCGGCATGCCTGGCAGTGGCGCCTGTTGTCCTTGGTGATGGTGCAACTGCCGTTAAAGGGACACGTGAAGGAGGCTTTGCGTTTCATGCTGCGCCTGGAGACATTGCGTACAGTCACAATTGTGTAAACTCTATTGAAATAGTTAGAATTAATTGAAAAGTTTGAAAAAAAAAACAACTTAATCACAAAATAAAAACATGATACAAGCAAGTCAGAGAATTCATTGGATTTATTAAGAATTCGATTTGAGGCTCAGAGTGCCAGAACGTGTTTGTAATTACGCGAGTTATTTGTTGCTGGAATGTAACGGGGCAATAAGGCACCTTGACAACGTTTCTGCACAAATAATAATCGTGCCAGGGATGGATAAATATTTTTTGCCCTTCAAGCGTGGGATTGTAAGAAAAAGGCCTAAATCTGGATGAGTGCCAAAGAATCCTGGGGTAAAAGGGGAGTCTTGCCAGAGAGTGACGCAAAATGTAATGATTTAGCCGCATGAATGCATGAACATTTATATACAGATGTGAGCAAAAACATACAGACACACATGCTTTGTGAGAGTTCAAACAAGGGCCGTCTGAGAGATGAGGAAGGAGGTTATTAAACATCCGTGTTTTTTTCTGCTCTCCCTTTGAATATCAACGCCGCACAGAGGAACAAACGCCAACGCTCGGGTACATACGTTGAACACATGCATACTCAAAATGGCAGGAAAAAGAGCAAAAAAAAAAAAAAGAATTTAAAAAAACAAGACGTACTCCGGTTTCTTTTTGGGCTAAATTGGAAACTCATGTCTAAGTCAATAAGCAAAGGAGCAGCCAAGGCATTAACTATAGGACTAAGCTCATTTGTATTCTCGACCTGCTGCTGAGCATTAGTGCAAAAACAAATGTTCTCAGTAGTTTTGAGAGAGTTCCTTTTTAACTGTGGGCGGCAATTACATTATAACCAGGTAGGTGGCCATTAGAAGTGCCAAATTCACAGTTCGTATGTTAGGGAGAAGATTAATCTGCAATGAGTAAAATGAACTCTTTTGTTTTTGGTACTGATATATCTCAGCCATTCGTTTGTTTACCTGAAAAAGCCCTTGCACCCCTCACAGGTCATGGCGTTGAAGTGGAAGCCGGTGGCCTTGTCACCACACACGCCGCAAATCCGTGGCACATTCCTGTCAAACTCATCGGGTGCCAGGGTAGAGGTACTCACAACGGTAGACTCCATTACTACACGAGGGGAGAAGGAGAGAAAAGGATGAACATCATCTTGTTGTCACTCACGGCCAAATATTAGCGCAAAAATAGAAATATATGAATAAACCTGAAACTTTGAACAATAGGAGCAAATGTAGAATATCAGATGTTATTATAAAATCTTACTATTTCACTACAATTAGGTTACAACAGAAGTCAAACTATTGATTTGATTAGTAAAAGTAGCCATTTTTACTCCATAAGAGCCTTACATTAAGCGAGACATCTCTTTTCATCTGCTGACCAAACTGTTTGCATGTGACTCTACTTCCCAATCTACCCTTTGGAAGCAAAGTAAACGTCGGTGGTTTTATCCTGGGGGAAGGAACTGGAGCCATATGAATCAAGTGGAAAAAACCCTGTTTTCACCCCAAAAAGCTGGATATGGGTTACATTTGATTACACAGTGCTCAGAGTACCTTTTTAGCTTTGCCTCGTGAGAGGAAGAAAAGAAAGGGAGAAAAAAAAAGGAGGCATGTCACCACAAGGAAAGCATCCTCATAAACTATCACTGTCCTTCACAAAGCTCCTCTCTTATTCCTTCCTTTGCTTCCACTGCAGAGTGAAACCAACGCAAATGAGAGACGAAAGAGGAGAAGGAGGGGGGCATCAAACCGATGCTCGACAAACTGGCATATCAACAGCTGATGTGGTTCAGGCTTAGATAAATCATTTAGAAATTATTTGACAGTAAACTTCATCGTTCATGTTTTGTTTAAAAAAGAAAAGAAAAGAAAGAAAGGACCGAAAAATAACTCGGGCTGAAAAGTTGTTGCTTTTCCAGTTTTTTTTCAGGACATGTAATCTTTAGTGAACAGAGACATCAGCCGGCGCCTTTTTGCTGCAGGCGTCGTGAATCGCAAAGGCACAAGCTTCTTCAGTAGCTGAAACGGGAACCACATGCTTCCACCAGGAATCTCTGATACATCTGTTACAGTACACTAAAACATGTCGGCAAATATTTGTTGAGGGAGTTCAGCAGATGAGCTGAGCAGAGTCCTGATAAACAACAGACCACGTAGAACGTTCTCAGGCTGTTTTGGTCCTGCTAACAAGGTCATGTACTTCAGCCAGGTAAACCTGAAGCAGAGCAGATGCTTGTTTTTCTGTTATTCATAAGGAAACATGATGTCAAAACAAAGAGGACAGGGACAATGTAAAAGATACTATGACTATGCCTGGCTGTTTACTGAGTTACTAGTTACTGAGTAGGTAGGTATGCTTCCTAAACGCCTCAAATTCCTTTTTTCAAAGTACTTATGTTCACTTAAAGTTCTTCAAGAATGACCTGCCAGGCTAGGAGAGCGGCACAAATCATTATTGACACATGTAATGTCCTTTTAAGAGTTGTTCTAATCAACGGGCACATGACATAAGGCCCCCAAGGTATTTCCTATTTACTGAGTTGAAAAATGAAAAGGGGTTTAGATTTCCAGCACCTGCACTCTGCGTATTTTCAATAATATGCGTTACTTTGCCAGTCAGGCTGCACATCACGTGTATGCAAATATTTTCAATGGCAAAATGGCACAACTGGACAGAATCAATGTGAATCAAATCCCATAAATGTGGCGTTTTCTGGGCTAAAAAAAAAAGAAAAATAGAAATCAGAAGAGACTCCTCTTTTGGCAAAAAAAATAATGGTAATAACTGTCCAGGAGGCAAAGCTTGCGTGTTAGGACGACCAGTGCTCAGCCTAAGCTACCTCGCTGTGCTTCTAATCATACAGATCTGTGGAAGTGACCGGCGAAGTGGTTATCTATCAATATACAGTTTTCTTTGACGTGTTTTTTGTGGTTTTAAATGTGCCATATGTGGCCAGTTTCGAAATGTAATTAGTGCTTTTAGCGGGGCTAACATGAGAGTCACAAATCCTTAATAGCTGTCATGTTACATAACTTTGAGAGGTATAAATGAAACTTCACAATGAAGAATACTGTATCAGCTCTACTGCCCATAGGCAAACTAATCTCAGCAGACTCTTACACTCATCACTCATTGTGAAGCAAAACACCCATTTACCTTAGTTTATTATCGAATGATCACTGAAGTCAGGTCTCTGTGACTGCATTCAGCCTTGACAGACCATTAGACTAAATGCAAGGGAGAATTGAAAGAGCTCTAAATAATGCATCAGGTTATTAGACTAGATCTGTACTCATTCCAGTCTTGGGCATGCAAAGCCTAACAACAGATTTTCAACTTCAGTCTCCAAATTAGTGTCTGACTTTTTGGACATACATATTAGCAGGATCGTAAAAAATCCTTTGCTGTGGCAATAACTATAAATATTATTTAGATTAACACATGCACTACACATAAGGATGAAGCAGAATAAGTGCAACTTTGACACTTTTGACTCCGGCTATGAACACCTCTGAACACCTCCACCTGAAGGACAAATTAAACAAATCTGGAGTGTACCTAACATTTTAAGGGAAAGGGTGAAAATTGACTTATTTCAAAGTTGAATTCTTTCAACTGTATGCTTTTTTGGGGGGGTGTAATCAATGATAACATGGCTTCACCATGTTATGTTTATTAATGTCTGCCTATCTCATGCAATTTGGGTTCATTTTTTCTTTCAATTAAGTAGAACTTGAACTTTTTATGGACAATACCAAGGGATGGTGAGGACATCAAGTCCAACACAGGTGACTACATGTTACAATCCAGAATCTGTGTGCAGTGTTGGGTGATCATATCAACTTTTAACTGGGCTTCACGCACCAGGAGTTACGGCTGATTGGGAAATATCATCAGTGATATGAATAAAAGAACAGCAGAGATCAAATTTGTGGAACCACACTGTGCTACCAACATGGCCTTTGCACGACTGATGCTCTGCATGTTGGGATTGGGGGAATAAAGCATCTTAATTTACTATATAGACCTAGACTGATTGTTTTTGGTTTGAACATGCCAGGTTTGTGCTTTAAGCAATGCAGCAAAGATGAAATGAGAGCTGACAAAGAGAATCTAGTACTATAATTGTTTTACCACAACTTCCATGGTATTACAATTGTCCTTATTCTATAAAGTACTATTTAACAATACATGGTTCATCTCAGAGGAAGAGGGCTTTTGTCTGCGTGTGTTTATTCCACCTTACAGCTCAGACTGTTGGAATGACTTGTGGTGTACTGCCCTGTGATTGACTGTGTCATTCAGAGAAAAGACTCAGCCTGCAGTGAGAGCAAAGCAGGAGGAGAGAGAGATGTACCAGCAAAGCAAGTCACTGAGAGGCACGATTCAAGGGATGCTGAAGCATGAAAGTAAAAACAGACAGATATGTACCAAGGATACATTTAGAAGGGGAGGGGTGACCTCTCTGTCACATTGACTTTCGGAGTGGCCTGGACCCCCACTACCCTGCTGGCAGTTGTGGAAATGAGGGAGGAATATCATGAGCAGCCACTGAGATGTGGCTCAAAGAGGATCATTAACACAAACAGGCTGTTTTTGTCATTTCAAAAGATGCCTAAAAATACTGAGCGCCTTCACTTACTGGCTATATATAAATATGTCCGATCTCTGGCTGCCCATCATTGTGATAAAAAAAAAAAACAGAAAGAAGTAAGTATTTTCAGCCTGTGCTAATCCCACTTCAGTAGTTTTTTCCAAATCAAAGAGCTGTTTTTGTTATGACGTGTGTGCATGCCAAAACATGTGGAATTAGTCTCATGGTAGACCGAGTTCATGAGAGAACCAATCATTCAAATTTGTACATGTCTTTTTAAGGCCGGTGACCTTTAGGTTCAAGGCACTAGTGATTTAAAAGTGGTAGTTGGGGTTAAGCAACATGTGACAGGCTCTACACCACTGAGCCTCCTGCTCACCCAGTGAGAGTTATGTGGTAGCTTACAAAAGAAAAAATCAAACGTGTTTCTAGCACCACACTGGAAGGTGAGGAGAAACATTGGCTCCTACAGAAAAGCCCCGTGCGGTGTTACAATCATGAAAAAACAAATAAATGTCCACTCCTTTCCTTTTGAAATGCTAGACCAATTGTTAGAATGTAACTGGTCTCCTTGGACACCATCTGCCGTGTATCTGACAGGTGTTAGCCAGGAGATGTCAGAAAGAATACAACCCATGAAATTAAACAAACTGCATTTTCAACCATGGAGTAAGAACCAGGGTGCAGAAAATATATTTAAAACAAGGTGTAGGTAATGTCCTCAAACCCTTTAGTACAACACAGAAAAAGCAGTACATCTTAGTTTAAAATACCTAATTATCTAATTGCATAATGTGAAGGAAGAACCTTTTGCAATGCATGGACAGATCTCATGAATGACATCTGCTTTAAAAAACAATATGGGAAACGATAAAAAAGGAGGAAAATACTAAAGACTGAAAAGGAGTAAAACAGTGGCAGAGGCTGATGAGCAAGAGATGAGGCCTGCTGTAATTATGCATTTTACCACAAACTGACTAACATGTCATTTTAACTGGGTGGTGAAAGCTGCAAAATAAAAGACATAACCCCAGTTTTGGTTGGGTAGTTGGAACAGAGGAAAGGGAGTTTCCCCGACGTTCTTCCCGACAGAAGAGCTGAGAGAGAACAAGTGCAACTTAGCATGCAGTGGTGTGGTGACTCATCGTTTCCTCCTTTGATTTATTAACAGTATGGCTGAATTGACATGCATCATTCCCATAATCCAGGGGGCGATGTTATGACTGTTCCCAGGTCAGATTTGGAGATGTGGCACGCAGTGGAAGTGCTCATGCTTGACAGCTAAACGTGTCATTTGGTGTAAACACAAATGCTCGGCCGTGTGGGGATACCGGAGAAAATGAGTGTCTGAAATCCAACACACCAGGCTTTCTCCAAAACCAGGTCTAATCCCTCTCATCTAATGATACATAGCAATGACCACCAGGTACTTTTTAAATTCTGTGGAAATCACCACAAAGTTTTGCATAATTATATTGAAGCGGAGGCACACTGTTTGTGCAATCTGCAACAG